CTAAAGCTGAAAATTCTGAATCTAAAAAATATAACAATATCAAAAGGGAAAGTTTGTGTTAAGAGAGGTTAAGATGTGTTCACAGAAATTTCCCCATTAAAAAAAACATGAATTTTTTTTTTTTGGGGGGGGGAAGTCCTCTAATAATAGGTTAGAATGCAAAGTCAATACAAATGAATAAAAATAGTTTACAGTTTGTTTCTCTATTGCATCTGCCCCTTTCAGCTCCTCCTGTACAACGTGCAATAAACAAGCAGGACTGCCCTCAGAATTCCTTACCACACAAAAGTTGGGAATTTTTAAAACACTTTCTACTGCTATTAAACCTGTTGGGCAGGTACCTTAACTGCCAACCATAATTATTTTAAAATCTGTTTTCTTTCAACATGTTCCCTGGGGCAGAACACAGATCCCCAGTAAGAGAAACAAAAGGTTCCTTTTCAGCACCTGGGCTGAAGTGGCCATGCTTCTTCTTATTAAAAATGCACAGTAAGCAGCCTCCAGGGTATGCCTGTGCCAACACCAAAGTTGTCTGGTGAAACACACCCACCATTTATAATACTATTAGATATGGTTTAAGCAGGTGTTGGAAGTAGATGGGATTATTTCACTTAAGCAAGATGGTTGATTATACAGTCTTTCAGTCATGGGAAGAATAAATTGCACTGCAGATAGTAGGATTATGAAGAAAAATATCTGCTTAAATCAGAGTAACAGAGGTTTAAATGATAAGCAAAAATCTCTCAACGACTTATGGGCAAGTTTCAAAAATGAGTGTGCAATTTCCTTCCCTGGAAACTTAAAAATAATATAGCTAACCCCAAACCCTATACAACTTAAGTCTAAAGATTACCAAAAGAACTAAAATCCTCCAGCAAACTCTAAAATTTTATCTATTCATTTGATTTTATATATTCAGGTGGCAAAAGTATTTCATATCTCAACAATATTTTTAATGGATTTTCAAATGTACAGTTTCATTTTACATTCGTAACATCCTTGTGAGTAGGGCGGGTAGCACTTGTTATTCCCCTTGTTAATAGTACAATCAGTGAAGTTGCTGGGACTAGAAGTCAGNCCCAAGCTACAACAAATTAAACTGCTTTCAGCTCTCCTTGAAGCAATACTAAGCTAGCCAGCGGAGTACATGCACATCACAGCCTTACGAACAGTGTGTAGTGATTGTATCACAAGAGTGAAAGATTACACATATATGTTACGATTCACAATGGTTCCTTATTTGATCCAATAAA